CTTTGGAGCCATTGTCTCTGACACTTGGCTCTAAGCGACTGCTTCAGCGCTTAAAATGCCACGAATTTCCTATGTCTTCTTACTTGATTTTTGTTTCTTTTTTTTGCAGTAGCGTTTTTTTTTTTACCGCAAGATCCTTGTCAGCAATTTTACTCGCCGTTTTGTTAGGCGAACAAAACTTGATAGGGTAATTGGAGTAAGTGAATTATGTGAGTCAGTTGGTTAAACACATAATGCACAATATGCTTAAAAAATAATCTGATTTAAGAAAAAAAAATTTTTATGTTTGTATTAGTTTCATTTATAAAATTATCAAAATATGGATAATAAGGATAAAAAACATTAGCATATATTATTATCTGTAATAAATTCTTTGAGATAATTAATAATTACATATATTAAAAATGTTGAAATTGTAGATTTTTTTTTATATATATATTTATATATATATATATAGATTTTTTTTGCATTTTATTTTGATTTCATATTAAATGTTAAAATGATATTAATTAGTTGAAATTAGATGGATTAGCTTTATTAAACTAATAATTTAACTAATATTTAAACACACGCAATTAAAAAAAGTTTCTTAATGATGTTAATAAAGTTTGGCCACAACTAAAACGTATTTAAATTATTCAAAAATTTAGTTTTTACTTATTCAAATTTAAATAACACGAGTTAAAATTGAGCTCCATCAATAACAAATGAAATGTAAGCAATTATACTTATTTATAGTAAAAAAATTTTTTTTATGGCGAACTACAAATTTTATATGAAATATGAAAACCAAAAAAATTTTAATTGATTGCACAATAAAACGAAATAAAATTTAAGTTTAAATAAACATAACAAGAAATGCATAAAAATTTAATCGAACATGAATTTAAAATATGCAAATGAAATTGATGAATGAGATAAAATATGCAAATGAAATTGATGAATGAGATAAAAAGTGTGAAAACTATTTAGTAGAGTTCCATACAAATCGAATTTATTTGCACAACTAGACTTTAAGTTGAATTCGAATTGAAATCGTATATGTAGTAAATCAACACACGCATGTATTGATATACATATATATGTACGTGTCTGTGAGTGTATATGTTATATATGTATATATTTTTAAGGCTATAGACAACTGTCTGCGGTGGCCCACTTTGTGCTATTCGTGTATGCTCCCTCTTTTATTTATTGACTGTTAAACTTTTCATTAGCCATTTCGTTTAATTCGCACACAATATCAAAGATTCAAAGGCAAAGCCAAGACTGGCAGCAGCGCCAGCATCAGCAGAGGCAGAGGTAGAGGTAGAGACGCTAGAAAAGCAAAGGCCAACGGAAACCAAAAAGAAAAACAGCAACAACAACAACAAATAAAGCAATGGCGACAACGAATGGCACAGCACAGGCAACAACAACAGCAACAACAGCAACTAACGGCACTAAGTATAATGTATTTGTGTTGAAAGCAACCACAGCAGAAACTTTATTGCCTGCATGAGTGAGTGTGTCTGTGTGTGATTTCTTTGTGTGTGTGGGTATGTCTGCTGTATCACAGATACAATCAGAGCGCAATTGTCTGCGTTGATGAGCGAAGCAATGGAGCGCCCATCATGTATGCCATTTCAGCCTTCTACCAACAGCCACCTCAGCCCCTCCCATTCCCGCTCCCACTCCAGTGCACGCCCACAAAGCAGCCGCCCATTGACTGTGCGCTTTTTTTTATGACAAAGAGAGCATCACGTAATCACAATGATAAGAATCACGCATCCCAACACAGAGACTTACTGACAGCTACATTCCGAATGAAAAAAAAAACCAGAAATAATTTTTGTTCCGCAAAAAAAGAAGGAAAAGAATTATTTTCGTATAATGATTAAGTGAAAGTTTGCAGACAAACCACAAAATAAAAAAATAAAAATAAAAAGAGATGATTAAATACGCTTTTGCTGCCCATAGCTAAGCGATTAAGTGCTCTGAACTGAAACAAGGTCTATGGCAGCTGTTAAAATAAATGGGCAAATGATTAAAATGAAGCTTAAAAAAATATATATATATTTCATAGAATATTATTATGCTGATAAAAAAAGAATATTAAGCAAAATTAAGTACTGTTGTAGGTAAAATACATGTTTTCTTGGTTTCCAATATTACAAAATAATATATTAGGGTTTTTTTACATTTTTTATAAAGTATATATTTTAAGTAATTGATTTGATTAAGAAAATGTTATAATAATAACAAAAATACTACTCATCTATATTTTTAGTTTCTCTGTCTATACATATATTCAGAGTAAAATTAAAACTAAATAAAGCTATATTAAGATGCTGATTGATATGTAACTAACATTGCTCGTAAATAACTGGTACCCGTTTTATTCTTTACACTTCCTTACGCTGAGCAAGGATCTTTCGGTTTAGTTAAGCGCTTTGAGTTGATCACGAACATAGCTTAGGGTACAGTACCATTGATGTTCTCACACTGAGACTTTGCTATTTGCTAATTCTTCACATTCTCATACATGCGCACCCTTAATACATGTACGCTATCGATGTGTTTAACGAACAGAAGCATCGCATACATACCATAAGGAAGACTCTTTGTTTCATTTATCACAACTAAACTCTTTCTCAGAGTGTCCGCAAAAGACCCTCACTTGCAGACATAGAGAAACGGTCAAACGATTCATTTGTGAGAGCTTTACCACAATATTTTCTGAATATTTCGTTTATACATTAAAAAAAAATTATTTTCCTTTTATAATTATTTATATCTACATATTCTTATATATAATATCTATATTTTTTTAATAACTTACAAAACTTATTTTATTAAATTTACTACTAACTCTACTTTTTGTATAGATATAAATTATTTTACTTAAATTTTTATTTTATAATTATAGTTTACCAGAGTTTTACAGTTTAAAACTATTTTTGACAATTTTAACCAGCTAAGGACTTACAGCATCAAATCTTGCCCCTAGAAGTTCAAGTTGTCTTGCAGTGGCAAGCCGCTGTATCGTAAATTAGTATATGGAGAGATCTTTCAGAAAGATAATAAAGAGAAACGTTGAGCAGCTTTTTAGTTTAAAATGAAAAAGCTGCTAAAATAATGATAGCCGCTTATGCGACTTTCGAACGGGAGAAAAGTAAGTACAAAATTCACAACGAGTAAGTTTACCATTTTCATAAGAGCATGACGAACTACACACACACACACACAGTGACATAGTCACATCAGTTTTGACTGCCCTTGCCTTTAGGTTAAAGCGAAAACTTTTATTCAATGTGAAACTTTAACAAATAGCCAACAATATTTAGCGAAAAATATACACACAGAAGAACTAGCTCGGCCATGTAACTGAGTTGCTTTGCACACGTTTGTGTATGGGTATGTGTGTGTATTTGTGTTTGTGCTAAAAACATCTGCGATGTGACAGCATGATGCCATGCAGCTCAGGCAAAAGAGTCGGGCAGCTCTGACCCGCATAAGTATGCTACAAAAAGCATGCGGCTCACCTCCTACCCTCATGTCACGGTGTAACAGCCAGAAGTCCCAGACACGTATACACACACACACACACACACACACACTCACTACACTTACACAAATAGATTCTCTCCCTATGCAGTCGCAAAGTTGTGCACAATGCTTGAACAAACATTCGAGTAGTGTGACATATACATATTGCAGCACTTACCCCCCCTACTCACACATTGAGCGCTTAGTACTTCCCAGCATGTTCCACTTGGACCGGAAAAAAGAAACGCAACGTGAAACGATTTTCATGTGTAAATCAATATCGCAATAAAAAAAGCATACCATATGTATATGTATGTATATATTATATATGAAAGCTGAGCTGAGTTAAGACGTTTTGTGATGAGGCCTCAGCTAAAGCATTTTTGCCACAGCATTGCTGAAGTAGTCTTCAAAAACTTTAGAAGATAAAATTTTATGCTCTGTTTGTGCTTGTGAAGCAGGGAGTCTGTTGTTTATATTGTTATACTGTATTATCTTCTTCTGTGTATGTAGTATGTATGTTTATATACAATATAATAATATTTTTATTTGTATATACTCAATTTAGGATTAATCAATTTTTATGATGCGAATATTTATTGATTTATGTTATTGATGATATTTATAGACTTTTGATATAAAACTAAAATATATGCGCAATTTTTTATAAATAAAAAAAAAAAAAATATATATATATATATATATATATATATGTAAATATGTATGATTTGTTTTTGATTTGTATTTATTTATTTATTTTTTTTTTTTTTTTTTAGGGCTTTTGCTATTAAAATTATTTGTAAATAAAATATTGAATAATATTATCGTATCATATTTTCTAGTCTCAAATATAAAAATCGTATAATTTATTCAATATTATATTGATACAAAACTTAGCCTTAACTATATACATATATAATTTAAAAAATATGTATATGTAATAAACAAGTTGTTTCATTGTAATTTTATCCACAAATGTATACATGTAAATATATTTCTGCTCTATCAGAACTACAATCCGATTTACATATCTCAGTTATTTTTTTGTAGCGATTTGTGGTTTGTTGTTTTCTCAAATGAATAAAAAAATTGCAAATATACGCAAAATCAATGTAGTTCATTTTACAATGCGGTTGGCAGAAAAAACATGTAACAAGTGACATGTATATTGGTAGCAATAAAAAAATTAATATGCTTTACGTAACCGCATTGCGAATAAAATAAAAATTGCAGATGTTTAATCTATACCGCCCTCTCTCTTCTTGTATATCTCTGAAGTGGTACAAATATATTAAGTGATTTCGAATTAAATATATTTTAAATTATATTGTTTATATTTGCATGAAAGGAGTAAACCTTCACATTTTTTCATCAAAACATATTTTGATTGATCTAAAACGATTTCAAATATTCATAAAGCACTTTCTTAAAATATGATAAGAAATATAATTTATAAACTAAAGTGCACTCACCTAATTCCACCCACATTTAATATAATCCGATTTTCGCCATCCATGTTGCATGCAACAGTTGTGGTAGCAGCAGCCGCATGCCCAAAATTGTAAACACTTGGCCAAGCACTACTTAAGGAATTGAAGTCGCAAATCCCTTAAACATTTAGCGCGCTGATATGAAACACATTTTTGAATTAATGTTGATTTGTTATTCAAATTAATTATTCATATTTCTATTTTACTTTTAATTTTTTTTATTATTATATTTAATTCAAAAACACAAACGCGAAATGCTTTTTAATTAGAGTTAAGTCCCTTAAAGCCCGCGGGCTGCATCTGTTTCACGTTCTTTTGGTTTGCTTTGTATATCCTTTGACTGTAAAAAAAGAGAGAATAAATGCAAAATGCTGCATTAGTTGGAGCTCTTTTTATCTCCCTTTTTGTAAAGTGATGCGCAAACCCAAATTGGGGTTTGCCTAGAGTGACATGCGTGTGTGTGTGTGCTAGAGATACGAGTGCAATGCATAAAATATGTGGGTCAAGAGATCTTTCCATACTCTTGGAATGGACATTATCATTTATGTGCTTAAATTGTTAAGCTCAGCGTAAAATTGGACTATGTAAACGATAAAAAACAGTCAAAAAATGAATATGATATAAAATTAGGCTTTAGCTAATATTGTATAATAAACTGAATAAATCGATTTTTAAACTGTTCTAAAATACACAGAAAGGGTAGGTTCTATATAAATAATCTAATTGTGTTGTTAAGGTACTAAACTTGCATTGTACAGATTCAGCGCTTAAAATAAATATACAAAAAAAAAAAAAAAAAAAAAAAAAAATGCTTCTACTAAATATAAACCTTTATGCCTGCAAGGGTATTTAAGCTTCGGCATACTGAAATAAATGCTCTTCTCCTCATTCATATATTATATGAATATAATTTGAATAATGCACAAAGGGTTAGATTTTCTTCGATTTATCGCGATTTTCGATTTATCGGGCTACAAATTATCGACACTCGACATTCAAAATACTTTTTTATTTATATAAAAGGTATTTATGTATTTAAAGTAATACTTCTAATAAAGCATGCATGTTTGTAACAAACAACTAATAGTTTTTTTTTATTTTTTATTTTAATTTGTTAAAAGTTTAAATGGAAGTTAAAGATAATTACAAATAAAATGAATAAAAATAAAAACGTACGTACGTTAAAAAAATATTTAAATAATAATTTGAAAAATTAAAAAGTAAACCAAAGCCAAAAGAAGTAAATTTAAAGATAATTATAAAATAAGATGGATTCTTATAATACAAATGCAAATATTGCTAAGCATTGTTATATTTTACACATTCAATTTAGTATATAAGATGTCAATTTCAACACTCGTGCTCCGGAATTCATATTTAAATTCGATTTGCAAATTCAATCCATGTAGAGGTCTATCAAGGTCCTTGGGGCCCACAGCTTTAGCAACAACTGTCCCGAGCCGCGTGTGAGATGTCATAGATTCAATAAACGGCAAAGTAAAGTCACATAAACGGCTTCGGCTTCGGCATCGCCGTCGACTGCCACATCGACATTCCATTAATTTAATATATACAAGACGGCATTGTCAGTATCAAATGCCAAATAATGTGAGAGACACCACAGATATGTAAATATGACAGCTGCTTCGACAGCTACGTCCCATGTTCTTTGGCCTGAATTTAAAAGAAATTCCACAGTCAGCCCACATTAAACATGAGCGAATGTATATTGCTTGCGGAGAAGTTGGGGGTCGTTAGGGGCCGTCGGTGACTGTGTATGGAAGAGCGAGAGTGGGGGCGGCAAAAACTTTTGTTGTCTTAGATTGTGCTGATTGATAGTCTGTGAAACATGAGCAAAACTTGTGGTACAAATAAATGGCAGTCATCCATAGATGCAAAGCTAACAAATGGCTCTTTGAAGGACAAAAAGGAAAATACTTTGCACTTTCTATTGTCAAACTTTTAGATTTTCGCGTAATTTGAAATAATAAATAGTTGCGAAAGAAATAAATTATGTTCTTTGATTGTAATGATAAATTATATTCAAATTTATCTTTGAGAGCTTTTGTGTTTGGAAAAACGTGAAATATGTGTGTTGAGAAAGAGAGCAAGGATAATAATTAGATCGATAAAGAAAGAGAGAAATAGACAGACATTAAAAAGGAAAAAAGACAGAGCGAGACTGATATAGAGAGGGAAAAGAGAGAGAAATAGAGATGGAGATCAAAGCGAAAGATAGAGAGAGATAATAAGAGACAGAAGCACACAGAAAGAGAGAGTGAGAGAAATGGAAACATCGATAAGAGTAAATCGAGAAAGAGAGATTGAAGAGGCAGAGAGAGAAAGGGAGAGAACTTGAGAGATAATACAGGGAGCCAAGTTGGAGTAAATGAGAGGGGATAAAGATAATAGAGAGAAACAGAAACTGACCTAGAGAAAAAGTTGCGACTGCAATTTGTGGTTAAACCTGATAAATTGCAGCTCCCAGCTTCACTTTTGCCGCATGACAATAAAAATGCCTAAGCACAAGGGCAATCTGGATGAAAATTACAAAACCAAGAGAATTAATTTCAATGAAATTGCTTGAGTAAAAAAAAATGTAAAAGAAAGTACAAGAAAAATGCCTCGCTGGGGGAAAAAGCTTTCAACGGAGCACACACATACATACATATACATATATATAAAGATATAAGTATGTAAATAATCAGGAGGGTATATATATCACGTCGTTGAGGCATTTTATGGCCAACAGTCGAATGGGCATCGTTGCCACTCGCAGAGCATTTAACGATGAACATTTTTGGCTGGTAACTTTTATTCGCTTCATTTTTATTTTTTGTCAACCACTTTGCTTGGTATGCAAATTTTTTACTCGGCCGCACTTGTGCACATTCCGGTAATAACATTCAAGCCAAGTTGGGCAACCCACTGGCCATGTGCTCGATGTCAAAATAACAAAATGCTGGTTAAGTGCGATGCACAGCGAACAAAGTCTGGGGAAAAGGCCATTCAGCTACTGATGGTTAATCAACTCGCAAGGAGTGGAGCACTCACTGGCCATATATCTGACTAGACAGACTATCTGAATATATAAACGAGTGGCGTGGTACGGGTACAAGCACAAGTAATCGAATCTACACAGCACCAGCTGCAGCTGGACCAGAAGCTGGAGCTGAAGCTGAAGCTCTAGTGGCATCGTTTCAAGTGCGTCATCAATCTCTGCTGCGTAGGAAATTTTCATTCATTGACTTGAGAAGAGTCTGGGCAGACGACAGACGAACGACGAAGAGGCGAGTGCGGGTGGAATTGTGCTTGAGCGCTGAGTGCTTTCCATTGGCGCTTTGTCTTAGCCGCATTGTGCGCCGCCTGTCGCTGGCACTTTTGGCCTCAACATTCAGTCAATCAACGGCTCGTTGAGGCTTTCATGGATTGCCACTTCAAGGAGTGAATAATTTTCACTTGAACCTCCATTTAATACCAATCGTATTCACATGTGATCCTTGTGAATAACCAAGAGATCACTAAAGCCAAATACGTGATATTCAAATCAAAAACGAGAGTCAAGAGTTCTCAGAGAAATGCATGAAATATGCTACATCGACTGAAAAAAAAAAAAAAATAATTTTCTCCATAAGAGTAAGTAAATTTCGTATTATATTTGGAATGTATTAGTACAGGAACCCGAATTTTTCTAAGCTGACAATATGCCAAATTTTAAATCGATATTTATCGATAATAAGTATAAAAAAATAATAATGACTTTTTATTTTTAGAATTTATAATATATAGATATGTGCTCTCTTCACTCTATAAAATATCAGACATACTCTGTCATATCAAGGTATCTTTATAAATATATTAAAATATATCTTTGTATTCAGATAGCAAAAATTTTAAATATCTAATGCTCGTTTTCTCGATCATCGATAGCAAGAATAGTTTTACTATATTTAGATTCCCAAATTTCAAAAGTATTATGCGAAGTATTAGTATTACAGCTAAGTATATATATATTTCTGACTTGTATTACTATCAACTATATGCGAATTTTATTTAAATAAATCTTTAAATTTCTTGCACTCTACACATACCATAAATTCCCACTAGTTCAATTCATTTCTAGTTATTTTAATCAATTCTGCTTGTTATTTTCCCATGGAGAGAGCTAAAGTCTGTATATAAAGTTCCGTTGAAGCACTTTTTCGCCAGAGGCGATCCAAATCAACAAAATTGCTGCTTCTGACAGTAAATAAGTAACTGAGTGACTGTGCAACTGACTATCTTTTCAAAGAGTTACATACTTATATATACACACATCTTAATATTCATGTTGTGTGTGTTTGTGTGTATTCTCGCCCTCTGGCTGAAAATGAAAAAAAAAAGAACTTTTCGCAAAACAATGCAACGAATGCCAGATGCCTGCCTAAAAGTTTGGCATTACGCAAAAACTAAAAACCATTGTACAACAAGTTAAACAAGAAACTAAAAAGAAACAACAAATATCCAAAGCAACACAAACGAAACAAAATAATGGCAAAAGTGAAAAAGCGATAAGGGGGAAAGTGGAAAAGGGGAAAGTGCACTGGCAACTGATCAGACTGTATGGACATAAATATACAAGTTTGCATCTCGCTTTGTTTGACTACCAAATTACAGCCAAAATCAATGGCGACTCTTGGTTGTTGTTGTTGTGTGTCAGTTAGCCACAACTGCCGAGCAAGGTCAAAACGCCATTGCTCGCAGCAGAGACATGGCCATAACCAAAAAGCAAATCAGTTTATCAGTCGATATCAAAAGGGCAGACACATAAGAAATTAGTTTTTCCAACAGTTTTTATTAGCACTGAATGAATTACCAGACTTGTTAAGTAAGCCAAACTTATTTTGATTGTTGGTTTTATGTGCATCATGCACTGCTTTCATGTACTTGACTTGGCTAATTGACAAAGCCCAATTTAATCTTTGTTAAATAACATTTCATCCATCACAAATTGAGTTTGCTCTTAGTGCTTCACTTCCAACTTATATAACTTCGTTAGAGCTGCCTGCATTTTTGTGTTGAACAACATTTTCTTATTGGCTTTTTAATAGATTGATTGACTTTTCCATTTTGGCTGTCATAATTGGCATATTAGGAATAATCAATGTGATTTTGTGCTACGTTCATTATGGAATTTGCATGCTAAATTAAGTTGTTGATCTTTTAGCTCAAGATAATAGAAACAACAAATATTTTCTGTTTTTTGCATGTATTTAATTTTATATTTTTCATGGACTTACTTTTAATTGATTTTAAGAATCATTCAAGTGTCTAATAGCTCAAAGTTATTTCAAGTTGAGT